TATATATATATATATGTATATAAAAATTTTGGGGAGGACCAATCTTTATCATATTACATTTAAGATACTTGCATTAAGAATATCCATATTAGCAACCTGATATGCTGGTGAACCTAACACTTTCTGAGGAAGTCCTTTAATTGTAATTTCCATGAGGACCTAAAAAAGACAAAAGGTTTTATAGTAGTTAGCAAATGAAATGCCACTTCACTTTTTAAAAGTCTAATAGCGTTAACTACATTTTTAACAATTTATAACCAATAATATTCACTCTAAATACAGTAGTGTATAAACTATTTCATTTTGTGGGTTTTTTGGTGTGTTTTTTTGGTATCGGGGATCAAACTCTGGACCTTATACTTGCAAGGCAGACAGAAGAACCACTAAGCTAAATCCCCGGCCTCCTAAATGATTTTGTTTTGAAAGTTCAAGTACAGAAATATAATAGGTAGAGTGACAAAGCCCTTTGCCTCTAAGGATAATCAATGTTCTCAGTTTGGAGCCTTACTTTCAGACCTAAATCTAGTATGCATAAGTATAGACATCAATCTATATACACACTACTATATATGAGTATCCACAATTTGTTTGCTCAACTGCTTTCCTAAAAATGGACTTGAGACTATTTCTTTTATACTGCTGAAAGAAATTCTGCCATGAATTACTTATTCAACAGTGTCAGAAATACCTACTACTATACACTGATACCCCAGTTGTCAAACTCAATTTGTTCCAAATTTGTAGTCAGACATATTTTTTCATAAAATAATACAAAACTAAATAACGGGTTCTGAGGCCCAAATAATACACTTATAAATTCCTTTCTCCAGGACTTTAACAAATTTCTCAATGATTTTTTTAACTCTATCACAGTTCTTAGTTTTCCTCTTAGCTTTACTGCTGGCATTAAGAACTTTCTTTGGAGCTATGGTTATGGTAGTTTACACAAAACAAAGACCAAAAAGCACACTGGAGAATGTTTCAATAAACTACTATAAAACTATGTTACCTGGTTGAATGGGGCACTTGGACTGAATTATTAACCTCTTTGGTGTCTGTGGCAAGATAAGACACATGACTCACTCTCAGTTTGTAAGGTTTTTCCCCCCCAAGTTGGATTTTCACTTCAACTATCAAGCAAAGTTATGAAACCAAGCAATTTTTTTTTCCAACTTTGCTGTTTTGAGTAGCGGCAAGTTCAAAATTGAAGCCATTTAACAACTGAGATATCACTTTGGTTTTAAAGACTAACTAGAAGCTGAGCCTGAAATTGCCAAATCAAATCTGAATAAGCTCACCCAACTGCTATCCAAAAACCTTACCATATGTAGTTATAGTAACATAAACAATGTATCTTGTGTGTCATGAACAATGATAGTTATATTAGGAAAACGTACAAACTTTCCTTTGAAACACACTAATGTTGATAACAGGTACCATTTACTCTACTTGGCCCACGGTGTTTTCTATGTATTAATGATTAATAACTACTACATTCCATCTTTATAAATGAGTCAAACTGCAGCCACATGGGCAAATAAACTGTTCAAATTCACTGCTAATAAAAAGTTGGAGAACCAAGACCTGTTATGTGAAGGTACAGGATCCCAGTAATGAATGTAACTGTATTGTAGACCTAGATTGTACTAATAAACTCAATAAAAAAGAAAAAAAATTTAAAGTTGGAGAGAAAGTCAACCTAATCTCCTCTGGAGTCATTAACCACTATTCATACCACCACAGTGCATTAATTGTCATAGTACATCAAAGAAAGAGACTCAGAACAAATTTAAGGGTATTGTTCCATAAGTACCTCATTAGAGAAGGCTATTATAAAATAATGTTTAACTTCTTTTTTCCCCCTCTAGTAAATAAGTTGAAAAACTAATGCTGGGTATGGGGGAACACGCCTGCAATCCCAACAGTCAGAAGGCTGAGGTAGGAGGATCACTGTGAGTTCGAGACCAGCCTGGGCTACATAGCGAGTTCCAGGGCAGTCTCAACTACACAGTGAGACCCTGTCTCAAAAAAAAACAAAAAATAAAATAAGAAAATAATACCAAAGCCATTATCCTGGTTAAAGAGTTCATTGAAAAACAATTACTGTTAGTCACTAAAACATTAATGTTATTCAACAGTCTTATAATAAAAACTAGTAGACATTTTAGTGTTTTCAGTTCAAATTCACATCTTTTACCTAATTTTCTCTGCTTGGTTTTTTTTTTTTTTTTTTTTTTTTTTTTTTTTTTTTGGTACCAGGGATTGAACTCAGGTCCTTCTGTTTACAAGGCAGGCAGCAGAACAGCTGAGCTAAATCCCCAGCCCCCTATTTTTCTTTGTATTATAGATTTTTAAAAAATCATTAAGTTTTTTGCTGTTGCTGTTAGTCACTTATTATAAAGGCTTTGAATGACTCTAAAATCAATACAATGGCATTTATTACAGAGCTAAATTGCTAACAAATATTTGATATAAAAAGTCTACCCAAAGCTTGACGTGCAAAATATCAATATAAAACTTAGTTTCAATCCTAAGATCTTTTGCTGTTGTTCAAATCGTAAGTTTTAAAGTCCCATTTATAGGAATACTTACCAGTGTTTTCGATACAGGAAGTACTTCAGACTTCACTATGTTTTCCAAATATTTCAGTAGGAGGGTTAATACTTCAGAACCTGGTCTCTCTTTTTTGTTACCTATCAAAATGCAAAAGGATATAATCCTAAACTTGTATTTTCACAGGTGAATATATTCACTGAGACATGACCAACTTATTAAACAATCTGATCAGTGTAAAAGCACTCACCAGATTCAGTAAGTGAATTGACTAAGCTAATTAGCTCTTTCCAGATAGCACTGACAACTGCATCTGTAAAAGAGTCATTTTAATGAGATACATGATTACAAAGTTTCCCCCCTTCTTCCCTATACTAACCAATTGTGCTATATTTAATTTGTATCAATTTCCTTGTCAATCCTCATTCCAGTAATTTATAAAATTATGACCTTATGCTTCTAAAAGAACTATGTTAATATAACAAAGGATAACTGGTTTAATCTTCCCATCTTTCTACATTTAACCCATCACAACAATGACTTAAGATACTTCATAAGTGATGTTATTCATTTTTTTACCAGTTAAAGTGCAAAGTATTTGATTTTGAAATTTCTTTTCCATATTATTCATTAAGTTGTAAACACAGGGTTTAAATGCAGATACTGGGGTCACCTAGCCTGGAAAATGAATCATAACTGCACCATTTAAGGGCTGGGGATTTAGCTCAGTGGTTCCACCACCTGCTTCATAAGTGCAAGGACCCGAGTTTGATCCCCGGTACCAAAAAAAAAAAGTTAAAATAACTGCACCATTTACTATGGGACTCTAAAAGTTATTTTCTTCTCTGTACAAGTCAGCTTCTTTTTAAACTAGACTATGTGAAGCAACTGCTCTGCCACTGAGCTTTAACAATAGGCCAAATATTTGATATTTTATCTTTTTATAAAAGATACCAACAAATAAAAATTTTTCTCTTAAATATTTACCAGAAGCATCTCTCCCAACTGCAATAAAGCTGTCATGAACAGCAGTGATAAGTGTATGTGCATGTTTGGAAAAAAAAGAAGGGCTGCTGATTAATGGATGTTCAAGTGGTTCTAGAAAGGAAAATAAAAGACAATTATATAAAACAAGATTTATGAAGCAAATTTCTCAATATAAAATTTTAGATGATCTGAATTTATACATGGTTTATACATTTATACTTAACAATTATAAAATTATAATTAAGCTGGGGAAGAAACCAGACCTCATCTCCTAACAACACACCAAGGTAGACTGTTTTAATAAATGAAATTACTAAGAATAAATTAAAAATAAATACCTAAGCTCAATACAAGTTTGTGTTGCTTAGCAAAACTCAAGACTTCTGGACCCAATAAAAAATGAAGCAGCATTTCAAGTCCCAAAAGTTGAATGGAGGGGATTGTTGCCATTCCACCTAAATTTGTGCTCATGTTTATTCGTGGAGTTCCTGTAACTCCATAAGAGGAAGCACCTTTAAAAAGGAAAAGAATGTCAAATTAAACAACCACATTTTATATCAATTACTAGCTACCCAAATACATGTACTTAGCTTATTTTATTTCAGTAAAACTTATCTGTAAAAATAAACAATTTAAATCCCAAGCATTAATCTACATCTTGAAATTATTAATATGCAGGTCTTTCTGAATTTAAAGAATGAGAATGGCAGCAATAATAAATAACTGTTTTTCAATAGTGTAACATACTAAACCACATTTCTTTTATCTACTAAAACCTATTTTTAATCAAAGATCTAAGATTTTGGTCCGAAAGAAGAGAATTTCACATTGCTTTATACTAGCCATTCTAAGTTGTTTACACTCAAACTCATATACCGGTGAGAAAACATTCATTCTCTCCAACTACAACAATATGCTAAAACATTAATCAAGCCAAGGGTGGAAGAGTTAAGTACTATAATCTCAGCTAGGAAGATGAGGGAGGAAGTATTAATTTCAAGGTCATCCTGGCCACTTCATGAGACACAGTCTCAAAACTGAAAAAATTTACTTGCAAGCACAAGGACCAGAGTTCAATCTTCGGTTCCAAAAAAAACAAAAAATTTAAAAAGGGCTGGGAGGGCTGGGTATATAGCTCAGCAGCACTGTGCCTGCCTCTCAAGCACAAGGTCCTGAGTTCAATCCCTGGTACCAAAAAATAAATAAATAAAAGGGGCTGGGGAAGTAACTGTGTGTGAAGGCTCTAGGTTCAATTTCTATTACTAAAATAAATTTTTTAGTAATTTAAAAAAGAGGGCCGGGGATTTAACTCAGCGGTTCGGTGGCCTGCCTTGCAAGCACAAGGATCTGAGTTCAATCCCCGGTACCAATGATAATAATAATAATAATATTATAATTTAAAAAAGAAAAAGGGCTGGGGAGTTGGCTCAGTTGCAGAGCACTTGCCTAGCATGCACAAAGCTGTGGGTTTAATCTAGTGCCACCTAGCTCCTCTTAAAAAAAAAAAAATTCACTAACAAAGCAAAGAAATATATATATAATGGATTTTTGTTTCATATGAAAAATACGAAGCCTTCAGTTAAAGCCTTTAAAAAGAGAAAAAAGAACATCTGTCCCTTACCTTTGTGTACAGGAGTCATAGGATTTAATCCTGGAGAAGTAGCTACACGAGACGAATTTCCTTGAGGTGAAGAACTAGCATCACTTATTATGCTCTGAATCAGAGGCACACAAACCTATTGGGGGTGAAAGGCGAAAAGTCTATGAACTGTGCTGTTATATTTTTCTAAAAGCTAGCGTAATACACTTAAATTTCTTTAAGAAGTAACCTTAAATCTTTTAATAGAAAGGTTAAGCACCCTCACTTGGTGATGCTAGCCTATAATCCCAACACTCAGAATGAGGCTAGACTGCCATGAGTTTGAGACCAGCCTAGGCTACGCTGTAGGAGTTCAAGTCAGTCTAAACTAACAGCAAGATTTTGCCTCCAAAAAAAAAAAAAGTTTGAGCATTTGAGCATCCTTAATCTGAAATTTCCAAAACAAGGTCCCATTTTGAGTCCTTAATGCTGCAGTGGAAAAATTCTAAACCTGACCAGCCAGCCTCATGTGAGGTCAGTCAAAACAAGTCACACTTAAAATAGTGTATAAAATTACCTTGAGGCTGTATTAATGCAGTAAGTAACAAACATACTTCATATTTAGACTTGGAGCCTATCCCCAAGATAGCTCATAAAGTATATGGAAGTATTTTAACATGAAAAAATTTGAAAAGCGAAACAGTTCTGTTCTTCAGCATTTCAGATAAAGGACTCTCAATGCATACTGAATTATACTGGCTGCTCCCACTCAAACTAAAACCTGAAAGTCAGGAAAATAAAATATTTTACTATAACTGTATTTGCCCTGTGTATTATCTGTACATTTCTGTCCTAAGTCCCAGACAGAAAAATATAATATCTACTCAAATACTTTGTGCAATATTGACAGAATTGTTTTTAGGTTTTTTTTGGTTCTGTTGACAAACTTGGCCTGAGATAAAGTCCAAGTCTCATGTTAGGCACACACTCAACTACTATACTGAGCCACACCCTGTAGACCTCAAGCTGTTTAGGAAAGAACTCTGGAAAATATCTCCAAGAAAATTCAGGAGTAAAACCTCACTTCTAAAATCAATCCCGTATCACTCACATTTAATCACTTAATCAGTTATTCCAATTAGTTTATTTGAAAACTATGTTAGAATCCAGAAAATTAATGATTCCAAAGCCCAATTTCAGTTACTTCATGTTATATCAAACTTAAAAAGCCTTTTACCAAAAACAAAAATCAACGAAGCTACCAAAAAACCAAAACTGACTCAAGTGTAAGTCCCTTTCTAAGAATGTACTCCCTAATTTGCAGATATTTATATGGAATATAAGCAAGCTACTATAAAGCCAGATGTGATGGTGTATCTCTGTAATCCCAGAACTTGAGACACTGAGGCAAAAGAATCATGAGTTCAAGGTCAGCCTGGGCAATTTAGGAAGACCCTGTCTCAAAAATGCCTTGAGGGAAAACGCAACTGGTTGTGGTCACCAGTAGTGTTTGCCTAGCAAGCCCAAGGCCTAGTACAAACAATAACAAAAGGAGTGGAGACACTGTAGATACAAGTAAAATCTACTCCAAAATTCAACATATGAGAATGAGATGAAAAAAGTTTAATTGTAAGAGATAATCATTTTTTTGTTTTTGTTTTTGGTACCGAGGATCAAACTCAGAACCTTGTGCTTGCGAGGCAGGCAGAGGTACCACTGAGCTAAATCCCGGCCTGAGATACTCATTTTTATTTGTAAAAACAAAGTCTGAAACCAAGGATAGGATTGTGAGAAAAGTCTTTAAACAGGTTTAAATTTAATATCATTGGGTGTGGTGGCACAGGACTATGATCCCAGCAGTCCAAAGGCTGAGGCAGGATTTCCTAGGCCACATAGAGTATAAGGCCAAATGAACTAAATAGCAAGAAACTGTTTCCCAAAAAAACAAAAACAAAAACAAAAACAAAACAAATTTAAAAAAAAACCCAAAAGCCAGAATTAAATTTAATATCTAAATATCAAGAAATACAGGAAAAATTGTTTCTATCAATTAAAAAAAAACTATGAGGTTAAATGACTTGTGAACTTGGTAGCCTAGAAAAAACACAAAAACTAACTGAACCAACTGCCTAGTTTAAAACTTGATTGCTATTTTTCTAACATTAATTAGATGACTTCTAATCTCTTTGATACAAATCTCTGAAAACTAAAATGTTTCTAACATAGCAGATACTGTTTGTAGAATGAAAAGGCTTGTGGGCCTTCAGTTCAGTCCACTAAAGAACACTCTTTGCAGGAGCAGGAAGATCTTTTATGTGCTGTGGCCTACTAATACAGAGCAGAAATAAAAGATCTGCAAGAATTTAAGAGCACTATTAAAAAACAAACTAAATCAAGTGTTATAGTTGGCACTTATAATGTTACCTGTTCAAAATTAGCAGGCAGATGAGGTCCAAGTCTCATCAGTAAATACCACCAGACTTCTAGTTTTGTTAATGCTAGAGTTTCTGTTCTCACATGGATGGAACTCAAAGGCTGCATTAACAACTTGAGTCTTTTTGCACTACACAGTATATCTTAAAAGAAAATAAGCACACGGGTAAAATGATTTAAGAGGTAAAGATTAAATTTTAAAACTGAGATATATATGCAAGTCTTTTAATACAGCTAGAAAACTTTTGAAACATATCAGGCTATTCTTGCCCCACCCAGTACAGCTAACAAACTCCAGTACAGCTAAAACAGAATCCTGAAAGAGAAACATTACTAGATAGAAGCTATGTCTGGGATGATTTTCCCAACAGGGGACATTTGGCAAGGTCTGTACTATTTTTGGTTGTTGCCAACTAATCACACTATCACTTAGTGGGTTGAAACCAAGGATGCTGCTAAACTTACTAGTACACACCAGACAGCCCCTAACAACAAACTATCCAGTGCAAAATTCCAAAACTGAGAAAAACCCTCCTGTTTTACAATCTCATTAACTCCATGTGACAAATGAAAAAAATGCATGCACCAAACATTGCTGCACACCCATGTAATCCTACCTACACTGGAGTCTGAGGCAGGAATGTTAAGTATGAGGACATGAGAGCCAAGCGTGGGGTGCACATCTACAAATCCAGCATTCAGGAGGCTGAGGCAGGAGGATCACAAGTTCTGGACCAGCCTGCACTTACATACTGAGTTCAAGACCAGCCTGAACTACACATCGAGATCCTGTCTCAAAAAAAAAAAAAAATCAAAAAAAGTTTGAAGCTAGGCTGGGCAATTTAGCAAGACCTTGCCTCAAAATAAAAAGGTTTGAAGATGTTGCTCAGTGGTCAATGGTACAGTGCCCCTAGGCTCTAATTCCCAGTACCATAAAAAAATAAGGCAAGGATGGGAAACCAGGGTATAACTGAGTGTGTGAGAGACCCTGGATTCAAGAAAAATAACTAGAGGCCAGGGATTTAGCTCAGTGCTTCCAGCACCTGCTTTACAAGTACAAGGACCCAAGTTCGATACCTAGCACCAAAAAAAAACCTACAAAAAAAGAAAAGAGGCATATTTTTACATTTTGTGTTTAAAAAAAAGCCCTCCACCTCTGAAATTAGTAACGTATTCCATGAACCACCATTAACGTTGAGGCCAGTGATCAAATTTTAGAAATCTAAACAGATTCACTTCAATTCTTATTTTCACAATATCAGATTAAAAATTTAGCACGCAAATGAAATCCAATTCTTTAAACGAAATACATCACATATGTACACGAGTAGGGCTGGAGACACGTAAGATTAAGAGATGGTCTGTGTTCAAGTATCACATCAAAAAGACTTCCAGGGCTGGGGATTTAGCTCAGTGGTTCCAGAACGTGAGTTCGATCCAGTACCCACA